GTTTTGTTAGGCACATTTCCTTTAAGAAGTATAGCTGTCACGATAATTCATGGATAAGCTCTGTTTTCTCATAGCTGAATCGTGAAGTGACGCAAAATCAAATGCAAATTCAAGGTTCCCTTTTAATTATAATTGGCTGTTTATAGGATACAGACACAAGAAACTGCACCAACTAACATGTGAACTGTTTGGGTTGGAAAGAATTGAGTCCAAAGGTGCAGCAGCAGTACATTTCTTAGAACTCAGAGACACTTGGATTATACACAAAACTGTATAGAAAATTAAACACAGTTGCCTGTTAACTGCTGTTACAAATGAAGTCTGATGCAAACTCTAAATTTAAAGGAAATCCAGAATTCTATCCAGTTGCACAGGTTTTCAGTGATCACTGGCAATATATGATGTTCTGACAGAATGTACTTTAACTGTTTCATGATGAAAAGAAAATTCAGTCTTGAGATTTTTATTGATTATGGCAGCTGCTAACACTTAGCTGTGAAAAACAGATTGTTCTCATTATTCACCACTAACTTTAAGTAAGACGACAGCATTTTTCATATGCTTACAATTGGTTGAAAATGAAATTCCTTGTTTTAAAGGCATCAAAAACATTGAATAACTTATGTGCACGTATGTCTGACAAAGTAAAGCAATGAATGAAGGATACAGTCCTACCTTTAAAATTAAGCATCCTTTAAAAAGAGGAAATAAAAATCAATGACAAACTGGTCCCTCAGAGACTATTAATATTTAATGGGATAGGATAGGAAATAAAAGTATTTTTGAAAAATGCATATAACTATAGAGAGAATAATCCATCCAGGAAAACACACACACACACACACACCACTAAACAAGAAAAGGTATCATTAGTGGAGTTTCAGTTAGTTCCTCTTAACTTTGGGTTCACAAAATTAGAGATATTAAGGAAATACAGCAATCCAAAACCAGTAACAAGGTTCCAGGAGCATGGGTAGATTTGTCTCAAGATGCCAAAATTTAATTCCCAGAAGAGCATGCAGCTACAGTCAGAGAGAAGGGAGTTTACAACTTTCCAATAGATAAGTGGGATTGACACTGATATATTTGCCTTCTCCAGTTGCTACTCCTCCCAAGACACCTTCTGCAACAACCTTCTCAATTCTCGCTTCCAGCAGAGTTTTTGAACTTCTGAAAGTCCACAACACAGTCAACCTCACCAGGCCTTGCTATGCTTTTACACCTTTGGAGGTATAAAAGACATGTAGAAAACGTTGTCCAGGGTCAGTTAGCCTCAATCGCGTCATTCCCCAATGGATTCTGGTAACCCTCAGTACCTGTTAGCTTTTATAAATGCCAGCAGGAAATTTAAGCAAAGAGGTTTGGATATAGCATAGGCCACTTCAAACTAGGCCTGCTATTCCACTAAGAATATAAATTAAATACAATTAAAGTATTAAATTTTTACTGTTACTGCAGTAAAAGTTAACTGAAGTAAGGAACAGACGTAACATGAGTCTGACTGGGTGATGCAGTCATTATTTTTACTTTTCTCATGATTAACTTCTCACCAGCAACCTCACCATATAAAGTCAGTCATCATTCAATACTTCCAAGGCCACACTGATGTACATCCTAAAATTAAGTATAAGTTTAGTCACCCTAAAACTAATCATTATAAATTTAGTCATCCTTAGATTACCTTAAAATTTTACTGAACACTTTGCATAAGAACTTCAGCTTAAATCAGCAAGCAATTTAAACTGTAAATCTAAATTTATTTTGTTTGAAATATTATTGTGCAAAAATGATTTAGTAGATTATAACCATAATCTTGGTGTTCACTAGTTTCATTACTTTGTGACTTTTATTGTTATGCATCTAAACTAGGTAATCATTAAGTTTTTGGGATGATGACTCAAAGTCAGGCCCAATCAATAAAAAGCAATCTCTTTGAAACGGGCTTCTTCAAAGGCGTAATTTTTAGTACCATGAATTTCAATACAGCTATTAGAATTTGACTATAACAATTTGCAAAGACTCAGAGTATCAGATTAAAAGTGTTCAGGAACCTCAACAGTAATTACTGTAATAAACCCAGCAGAACCCTTTGTAACAAGGAGTTACTGACAACTCGATTTGACAAATTACATTAAAGCGATCTTATTTCCTTTTACAAAGTAACAGTCTTCAAAGATGGGCAGAAACAGCAGATACTATGTATCCTGATATTGGTCAGGTTTTTGTTTTTATCTGACATGCAAAATTTATTGGAATAGTGCAATATTGACTGGAAAAAATCACTCAGAAATAAAATAGCTCTCTGTCAAACTGGATGAGCTTACTAAGTATGGCAAGGGATCTACCTTATGCTTACTTGCATTTTCAGTCATGATTCTAAAGGTAGAATAAATGGTGCATTTACCATATCTGAATCAAGTTGCAAGAACACTGGAAGAGAGATTAAAAATCAAATTGATCATAACAAATTGAAAAAGTGATCTGAACAAATTAGAATGCAATTTAGTAACAATGATGGCCACTTACACAGAATAGTCAGCTCTCAATACAGGTAGCCCTTTAGCATTTGGAAGCTTTGGGAATTAGATGTGGGATAGGAACAGGAGCAGAACACGCAAGATATCTGTTGCCTTTCCTCTGTAAGGGTGAGCTTAAACTGGAGTACACCGTCCAAGTTTTGGACATCACACTTGAAGAAAGATAAGGACCACGTGTAGG